CAAATTCCTAGGTCTTGACCATCTCAGCTTACTTGGACTCCTCCTCCATTCTCCTGGCCATGTGGCTGCAAATGTGAAGGGAGGGCCCTAGAGTCGACAAGCAGGGTAGTCTTGAAGTTTTCTATTTAAATCCTCTCCAACCTCATTTAAAGGTACCTTCACTACAAGATGGGGAGCATTGCAGTCTGTCTCCTTTGAGCTCTCACTTGGACTCACTGTTCATCAATTCTGGCATTTCTCACATGCTACCTGTTATTTTTACTTAACTCTTTCAAGTCTTTGCCTCTTGTATTCTCAGTTAGCTACTGGAGGATAAGAACTGTATCATACCCTTCTCTTTTTGCCCCTACAAATGTCAGTTCTATTAGCTCATAATATATGTTTAATGAATGTTCATTGACTTGAAAATCTTGTAATTAGGAAATCTGGAATAATTTCTTAATTACTAAGGGAGGTGTTCTGTGTCCTTTGGAAGCTTAACAATCACATGGAGACAACTTTAAACAAAGAGACAGGAGCTTCAGCTTCCAATCCTGGCTGTGTCACAAACTCCCGTTGTGATCTGCAGCAAATTGCTTGCCTTTTTTTGCTGTCAGTTCCCTCATTTGTGAAACCAGCGTTGATCTGTAAAAGTTTCTTTAGCTCTGGGTTTGGGTTACTTACTCTAGATAGCAAGGGGCAGCCTTTTTCATGTCAGTGCTGTTAATGCTCACGATGACTTTTTTTTCCCTTTAAGGACTGCCTAATTGATGGATCCTCTCTCCAGTATATAAAATGAGAAACACAACAGGCAGTAAGTGCTTTGGCCAAGCTTCCATGCATAGCATGTGTGCATGTGTACATGTGGGTAGCTCATTCTTCACCCCAGGCCCCTGGCTTTGATTGGATTCTTCCATCCTAGAGCTGTTTAGCAGCTCTTCCCAATCATAGGACTGTCAACAGTTATGTGCATGCCCACTTTCTCCTTTGTGACTGGCATAGGGGAAAGGTATGACATTCCTCTTGTCCCTCTGCACATTCCAATCAAGGGCCATAATGTCCATTGTCAAATTCAGTACAATCTCTTTAAATACTGTCATTTGAGAAGGAGATGAGAGACACAAGACACTAATAATCCTTGCCCTCATGGAACTTCCAGTCACCCTGGGAAGTGGAGACAAGAATATGTGTGGAGAAAATGTGCTACCCTATGTGAGGGACGACCTGGGAGTCAAGTGCTGCTTTGATGCATTTCTAATACCTAGAACAGTGCCTGATAAATAGAAGATGCTCAACAAATACATCACAGTAGGTAAAAATTGCCATGGTTTTCAAACTCTTTAGTTTAGAAGGGAAGGCTTTCTTTAATGAAACAGATGGATGTAAGGCTGCCCTGGTAAGGTCGAGCCATCTAGGCTCCAGAGAGGTTCCTCAGAACCCTGTTACTTACTGCAGTCAATTGACAAGGAGTCGAAGATCAACTTGCTGTTTTTCCTGGTTAACCTTAGCAAAGTAAGTGGAGGTTTGAAGACTCTGGTCCTCCAAATGGAATATTTTCATCTGAAAAAGTGTTGTCAATCTCTCTTCTCCCCTCCTTCTAGGGAGTTCCAATTAATAGGGGCAAAGGAGAGGAAGTTTTGAGTAAGAAACTTCTGAGTTGGTCTACAAATGTATAACAATGTAATGCTTGTTAACTTTAAATAAAAAGGGAAAGAAAAACACTGTGGTAATGTTTTCCAGTATTCAATAGAAACCCATTTGGTGTTATCTTACAAGCAGTCCTGATTTGAAGATACAATGTAAAATTCTTGTGAAGTCTGTTCATTGAATAGATGGTGCTGTCTTTTGCACAATGCACCTTGCACCCCACTGGTAGCTACTAACATTCCTGATCAAGCTCATAGTCAATCTTGGGCACATACACCTGCTAGAGGAGCTACCTGATGAGAGAATCTCTACTTCATGCCTGAAGAACTGAGACCCACTGCCTCAACTAAGCCTTCTCTTTGTGTATCCACCCCTGACCAGCAAAGGAGGGAAAGTGACCCAGGGAGGCAGGCACATCCCAGATCTGCATGTGGAAGACAATTTTGAGTAACCAATATCAATTTTCTAAAATGTGTCAAATGGATAAAGCTGTTGAATTAAGAGGTTTTCATCATTATCTATTTCATGGCCCTTTGATATAAATCTCTTTACCTATGCCACAGACTGCCCCTCCATACAGGTGCCAGAAGTTGCAGACAGATAATGCTGGGGACCCTGATAGAGACTGAATGTGTCACCCCAAAATTCCTAAGTTGAAAGTTAATCCCCAATGTGATAATGTGGTGGTGGTAGGACATCTGGGAGGTGATCAGGTTATGAGGTCTCCCTCGTAAATGACATTTGTGTCCTTATAAAAGAGACCTGAGAGAGATCCCTTGCCCCTTTTGCCATGTGAAGTATTGTAAAAAGATAGCCACCTATGAACCAGGAAGCAGTTTCAGACTAGACACTGAGTCTGCCAGAGCCTAGATCTTGAACTTCCCAACCTCCAGAAATAAGTTTTTCTGAGGAATAAATCTGTTTTCTGCAAGCCACTAATCTATAGTATTTTGTTATAGCAGCCTTGAATGGACTGAAACACTTCATTCAACAGTAGGGGAAACTGAAGGGTAAAAGGAGCTTACTTTAGACAGCAAGTCACTAGGAGTTCCAGCTTCTCCCCTGCTGCATAGTCAAGGGGGTGACCAACCTGTGGCCCCTGGCCACATGCAGCCCAAGATGGCTATGAATGCAGCCCAACACAAAATCCTAAATTTACTTAAAACAGTACAAAATTTTTTGTGTGTGATTATGTGTTGCAATGTATTTAATGTGTGGCCCAAGACAACTCTTCTTCAGTATTGCCCAGAGACACCAAAAGGTTGGACACCCCTGGATAGCCATTTCTTCCACCTCCTGGCCAGTCCCATAACCTCCTTATCTTCAAAATTTAGCTCAGGACTGAGCCATTTACCTACAGTTGCCCTTCCATTATTGCAGACTATCCCCCCGCCCCCGTTCAGCATCGAAACCCCCATCCACAGCATCTAGACTAGGCTTTTATACTTAAGGAGTTGAGTTGGTGTCATTAAATCTGGTCTTAGGACAGAAGCATCTCATGGTTAAGACTGGAGGGAATGGTGGAGATTAGAAGGAACTAAAAGCCTCCCCAGAGGTCTTGCCCAAGGTTATGACAAAAATAGGGCTTCTAGCCAGGTTTTCCTGTGTGTCTTATGCCTTCCTGGCTACACCCTGTGTTACTTTATTGTTTTTCTTGGTCTCTTTCTCCTATAAACCAGCTTCCCTTCTCCTCTCTGACATTCCCTCCCCATCTTCAGTTTCACCGGTGATAGGCTCTAGGGATTGCTGCATAGTACTTGTTCTCTGTGACCTTAGTGTGGGGATAAACGACCTAAAACAACACAGAGCTGGGATGGAACCTGTGGTCCCCAACTTCGAAACATGACTTGATGCCAACTAAGATCATCCCTGACATTGGTTCGGAAGCCCAAATGATGGCTCCCAGAATTTAGGTCTCTTGCCCAAGGTCAGTCGTCTATGAAGTGGACACAACTGTAGGTCCTCAGGCCCTAGGGGCTGCGCTCTGCCCGAAGCACTGCTCCAGGCACTGCCCTGAGCCCTCAGATCTGGAGGCTGACTGCGCCAGACACAAGCCCAGACCCCGTCTTCCTGCTCCGTGCGGCTTGACGGGGTAGGGAGAGACATGGGTGGTGGAAGAGTGCATTATTCCTTTAGATATCTAGGCATCCATTGCCTCCTTGTTTGTGACTGTGGCTCCCATCTAAAGTGTGGCAGCTGGAAGGAGACAGTGTGGGAGATTCACACTGGCCTTCTGGAAGTGATCGGAGCACCTCGAGGGTCCCTACCATTGTGAGCCAAGCTCGTGCAGGTTTTGCGCAACCCTACCCCTGGAGCGCAATCCCAGACTGTGGTGTGAGAATGTGTGAACGCAGGGCTGTGGAGCAGCTAACCTGGAGACAGCTTGGCCCACCGCTGCAGTGCACCAGGATTCGCCGACTTTCTCTGGAGTAGCACTCTCAGGTTCTTCTCCGCCTGCCCTGCCCCGGCGCCCCCAGAGTACCCTCTAACTTCCACAGGCCAAGTTGTCGCAGCCCCACTCACCCCAAGGGCCCGGTGCAAGTTCTGTTCCGCGCCCGCACCAGCGCAGGTTCCGGGGTTGGGGACCTGTGAGGTGAAGAACTGGACACGCGTGGTGCCACCCCCGGACCCGAAGTAACGAGCAAATATTGTAGGCGCTTACCTCACCTCTTAGCCCGCGCTGCCCAACTTCTACATCCGCTGGGCTACTGCTCCGTGTGGCTCCCAGAACGGGAAACCCAGCGCCCTCGGATAATTGCATTGACTACTTTTGGAGGACTCCGGGGGAGGGTGGTAAGGGGCTCTGGGTATGAGGAGCTGGGACGGAGCTTCCAGAGCTTGCGGGCAGGGGCCGTGGTGGAATGGGGGCTTCCAGGGGACTCTCCCAACCTCCTTCCGTTCGCAGACACTAGTGGTCGTCCCTAGAAGGACGAGACTGGGGCATCACAAAAGACCTGGCATACTGTTCTCGAGGTACCAGCCTCTCCGAGTGGGGCAGGGTGGAGAAGAGCCGCTACCAAATGGCTGGAAGAAGGGACTTGTTTGCTGGCTGGTCTGGAGATGGGACTGGGGTAGTTTGGAGACGGAAGAGCCCAAGAGAACACACTGAGTTTTGTTTCTCTCTCCGTCGTCCGAAAAGGAACCACATTGGCAGGGGAAGTAAGGCGAAGTGTAAACACAAACAACCTCAAAAAGAAGCCAAGAAAAGTGAAGCCAAAAGAAGCAAGCGCACCACTGTTACAAAACTGTCTGGTTTTGTAACAATTTTCCTGTGGCTGGCCAATGAGCAGCTTGGCGGCGAGTCACGTGGTACTGTTTTATATAACACTTTGCTGAGACAAGACAGTTATTAGCCTGCGCGCGGCGGCGGGCATGGAGCTCGCGGAGGCGCGGCAGGGACCGGTGTGCGGTCGCACGGCCGCGGTGGCAGCCCTAATTCCCTCCAGCTGCGGCTCTGAGTTCCGGGTCCCCGGCTCCTAGACGCCTCGCCCCGCGCGTTTCACTCCCTGTATGGATTCACTGCAGACTGGACAGATGCTGAGCTTGCCCTCCGAGCTCGGCAGTAACAACTTAGAGCTGGCGCAGCCGTCGGCACCAGTGACCCGTGTAGATACGGGCTCCCATCCGGAGGCGAAAGGCTCCGAACCTCTACCGACTCAGGAGCCGGGGCGAGAGCAGCCTCCTACCGCCTCGACGCCGGAGTGCAAAGTCCTGCTCTCACAGGCCGATGCCCTGGCGTCTGGGGGGCGCCTCCGGGAAGCTCTCGAGGTGTACAGACAGCTGTCGGAACGTCAGCAGCTGGTGGCCCAACAACTGGAGCAGCTGGTGCGCTGCTTGGCGGAGAACATCCCGCAAGGAGAAGCGCTGGCTCCGGTGCCCGAGGACCGGAGCAGCGCGGCAAGCTGCGTGGTGGTGTCGGACGAGGAAGGGGTGGCAACGGCTGCTGAAGCCACCGAGGTGTGGGACGGCTTCAAGTGCCGGAAGTGCCATGGATTTCTATCAGACCCCGTGTCCTTGTCGTGCGGCCACACCTTTTGTAAACTGTGCCTGGAACGCGGGCGGGCAGCCGACCGGCGCTGTGCGTTGTGCGGCGTCAAGCTGTCGGCGTTGATGGTGGCCACCGGGCGGGCTCGCGGAGCCCGGCGGGCTGGTCAGCAGGCACCGCCGCCGCTGCGGGTCAACGTGGTGCTCAGCGGTCTCCTCGGCAAGTTGTTCCCTGGTCCGGCACGGGCGTCGCAACTCCGGCACGAGGGCAACCGACTGTACCGCGAGCGCCAGGTTGAAGCGGCACTGCTCAAGTACAACGAGGCAGTCAGACTAGGTAAGCCTACCGCGCCTCCCGGCAATGAACCCGCAGGGAGATGAGGGATGGACCTGGCGGAGGAGGGCTCGGGGGATCGTGAGACGGACCAGCACCGGAGTGGGGGAGGGGTTTACGGAGTTCAGTTTTTTACTTTTTCTTCTATTCCTACCAATTTTTCTTTCTTTTTCTGTGTCTCTGACTCTGTTCCTGTTGCTCTTTGCTTTTTTCTGTATCTCCTGTTAGCCTCTGTGTTTCTGCATCTCTGTTTGTGTTCATGGCACTGTTTCGTTCCTCCTTTCCTCTGTCTTTCCCAGCGCTGTCACTCCGTTTGTTGATGGGTGTCACCGACTCTGTTTCCCGTTGTTTTCCCCTCCCTCTGCCTTTGCACGCCTGGGTCCCCTCTTACACCTGCATGCACCTTCCCTGCTGAGAGGGAAACTTCGCACCTTTTCCACCCTCGCGCTGACTCTGCTGGATTCCTGCCAGCCCGAAGTGTTCACTAAGCGCCTTCGTCTGCTGTCCCGCACTGCCCGCGCCGCCGTTTTGGCCCGGAGGTGTCCCTTCTGGGGCTGCGGCTCAGGGTGGGGTGGGTCCGGCGTGGAATTAGGTCAGGAGAGCACTGGTTGCATAAGGGCCGCGAGCAGCCGGGCTGGGCAGCCCCTCCTTCGCGCGGGCGGGCAGGCAGGCGGGCGGGATTGTGTAACGGCTGAGGTAACCGAAGTGGGCCACGCTCGCCTCGGAAACCATCCCGCGAGCATGGAGGGGAGGAGCGCTCGCGCCCCGCTGCCCTGTGACTCATTGTCACCGCTTCCTATCACACGATCCTCAGCTGAAATAGACGCTCCCCCACCCCCTTCCTGCTCCAGCCCGCTGCCTGCGCCCTCGCCTGGAACCCTTACCTTGCCAGCCCGGTAAGAGACTGGCCTGGCGACTGCTCAGGAATCCCGGGAGGCTGTGGGCAAGCTGCGACTGGGACAGGCCTCTGTCCCGCTTTCCTGTGCTGCCCGGAGACAGATGGGTGGGCTTTGTGGATTCAAGGACAACGTGGGTAACTCCATGCCTGCGGCCGAATTAGGGCGCCGGCGTTTCTGCATCGAGAAGCTCCCTCTACATCCCCTTGCCACATCTGGACCCAGGGAGTAGCCACTGAGCCTCTTGCCTGTGTTTCCCAGTTCAGGCAGGCTGCCAGAAACTCAGCCAGCGGGGCGCGGTGTCTGACGAAGCGTGCTGGGGAGGAAGGAGGCAGCAGGGCTGGTCAGACAGGGCTCTGGGATTGAGAGTGCCCTGAGCTTGACTCTGATGGGTGGAGGAGGGGGTGGGCTGGAGCCTCCACCTGTTGATCCTCCCCCAGAACTGGCAACAGGTATTGGAGGGAAGGGGAGGAATTAAGGCTGACTGGTCAAGACTAGCACCTGAAGGAGATGGGGATTTCCTACACACACACACACACACACACACACCCTATGCACACACACACACTGAACTGCCACTGGGCTGGCATGTGCTGCAGAAACGAAGGAACAGAGAGGACTGCAAACTTTTTGCTAATATATTTACAGTAAGGAATACGCACCCAAGCAAACCCTCAGCACACACCTTGGCGAGGGGGAGCCTGTTCCCTCAATATAAGCTGGAGGCAGGTCCCTCTGGAAGAGTACAGCAATGTGAGGAAGACAGGTGGAGGCCACTTAAGTCCAGATCTCCAAGAGAGGTTCCATTCTTTTCAGCCACCTCTGCAGGGCTCATTTTCCCTGGGGTTTTTCCTTGCATGGTCAGAGCAATCAGGGTGAAAATGTCAAGACTACTTCACCCTTCTAGGAGGAAAGGGGCCTTCCCAGCAAGGAGTATCTTTCTGCTGGAGGACGGCCAGGCTCTCCTCATTATTCTAAACAATGTATCCCCCCTTCAGAAAAAAACAAAACTGTCCCCCACCTCAGATTCTAAGTCTGGCCAGTTAACAATGAATCTGACCAACTAGCTGTGTGACTTTCAGCAGATGCCTTCCCTTCTCTGTGCTTGATTTTTTTCATCTGAAGAATGGGTTGGTTGAGCCAGATGGTTTCTGAAGGCCTGTCCAGCCCTGGCATCTAGTGATTCAGAGTGTTGGGACAGCCAACCTCACTTTATGTTCAGGAACCTTGCTCAGGTTCATTCACATTTGACCTTGGTAATGAAAGGATAGAGCCTTGCAAATACATTTCCATTTTCTTAGAGAAACTTCCTATGTTCACAGTTTCTACACAGAGAGGTTGCTGTTACCACCAGAGGACTAACTTGAACTGGTCTTCCTGGTGGCCAGGATGCAGGTCACATCTGGCCACCTCCCTCTTTCCACTCCTTGGCCTGTTTCCTTATGGGTAATACTTCACTCAGAAGCCAGGCTGCCAGTTGCTAGTCCCATATGACTACAAAGCAGGGTGCCAGGATTTGCTCTATGTCAAAGTTGTTGATGCATCACTGACACCACAGTCCCTCTAAGGAACTGCTTGAGAGAGGGGCAAAAATTATTTCTTTACAGCAGGGACATCTCAAAGCCAGAGTGGCTGGGGATGTGTGGTCAGCAGGGGCAATATTAGAAGTAGAAATTAAGTCTAACCTTTTGGATCTCCAAGAGAAAAGTCCCAGAAAACTTGCCATTTGCTTAAGATGTATCCTCATACAGGACTTATAATGTATTTCTGCTGGGGGCCATTAATGAGGGCTTTTTCTCCCTCATTTGGCAGCTCCGAATGACCACTTGCTTTATAGCAACCGGTCTCAAATTTATTTCACCTTGGAGTCTCATGAGGACGCACTGCATGATGCAGAAATAGCATGTAAGCTCCGCCCAATGGGTTTTAAGGTGAGTGTGGAATGGGAGGGATGGGAAGGGGCTATATTGTAGACAGGAATTGGCAAGAAGGGCTGCTGCTCAGGGTGGGGTGGAGGCATCAGAGATCAAGCAGAGCTGGGAGACAGCTTTTCAAAGGAGCTGAGGGTCCCTTGACAAAGGGTGTCTTAGGGGTCTTCAAGGCAACTGGATTTTTCTCCAATTTGATCTTCAATTGATGACCTGCACAGCAGCATGGACTTGGGAGCCCGATTATCTGAGTTTATGTCCCAACTCTGCTACTTTTATTAGCTGTGTGACCTTGGGCAAATTACTTAACCTCTCTGTGCCTCATCTTATCATCTATAAAATAAGGATATTCAAAGTGCTTACTTAAGAGCATTTGTTGTGGGGATTACATGAGCTAAAACATGTAAAGTGCTTAGAACAATGCCTGGCACAAAGCATTGTATAAATGTTTGCTGTCATCATCACCACCATTATTTTCCAGGGATAGTAGAAAGAAGAGGGTAGGAGAAGTATTGCTGGCTGGTTGTGCCATTTAGAGTTCTTAATATAGTCAGTCAACCTGCCAGTATCCACAAACATCTAGGTCACATAGAAGGGTGGGGAAAAAGACATGCTAAGCATCTCTCAGGATACCAGGATGCAAAGTGTCACTTTTTGCATCTGTGTGTGGCCTTAGCAACTGGCCTTCAGCCACATGTCAAAATTTGGTTTAGAAGATAAGATTTGAACCTGGACTCTACTTTTTCCTGGCTAAGTGACCATGGGGAAGTCACTTTACTCTCTGGACTCCAAGTGTCCTTGTTTGGAAAATGAAGCTATTGCTATCTTTCCTGATCACCTCTCACAGGGATGCAGTGAAGGTCACAGGTGAGCATGGCCAAAGGTCCATTCTGTCAGCTATAACACTTGCTGAGTCTTGGTGTAGTGCTCGCTCTGTGCAATCCTAGGATGCCTTCTTTGGACACTCAACTTATGCAAGTCCAGGTCCATGATTCCTTTATGAATTTCATGGGGCCAGATGTGCTCAGACTCAGGAATGCTTCCAATTCCAGAAAGACTTTAAATGAATTAACACCCTCAGAGACTTTTAGACAGTGTCTCATAATCAAACACACTAATGTTCCTGCAGTGTATTACATGACAATTCACACTAAGTGAGATAAAGAATATAATGCACTTCATGTCATTTTAGGTCAGGCTTTGCTACCTCATGACTTTTGATGTCAAACTTACAAAAATAACAGATTATCAAACATTTGGGGGGTTCTGGGAACTTCAGGTAAAACATACAATGCCATTAATGTCTAAGTGAATCTTATATGTCTTCCATGAGAAGATTTTCATGGGTAATGGATTAGTAGTATGTTCTCTTTGCCAAGGAATGCATTTACAGGTTGCTAAAAGTCATCAATGTCTTAACCCAAAGGAGCTTCAGTGAGAGCATTTCAGACCTTGCAGCAGCACAGGTCAGGGAGCTGTCCAGGGGTAAGAGGATTTCTCTTGCAATTTTTTTTACTCTTACCCTTGACCTAGGGCCTAAGAGTGGAGGTCTTGATAGTGCAGTGGGAAACAGGGCTGAGTAAGTAATGGACCCTTTGGGATGAAGTGGGAAAAGTAACTTCCCCAGTGGAGGAAGAGTTGATGGAAGTATTAAACAGGAGTTTCAGTTTCCCACAGGTAAGTGGAGAGGCTTACTTCTCTGCCCCTGGTTAGCCCTTTGAAGGGCAGTCTGCACTGTTGGGTAGAACTGTCTGAGGGTCCTAGACCACAGTTTTAGTTCCAGCTTTGTTGTTGAGGTCTCAGATAGGTGATATCCCTTCCCTTGGGCATCTTCTAAAACATGATCAGTAAGTGTAGGTGGTCATTCAAGCCAGTAATGTGGACAAGGCCTCTGCTTGACAAACTAGTTGGTACAAAGACATATTTGGGCAGGTCCTGAAAGCTGGTTAGTTTGTGTTGAAATGACTGTTAGTCCCTCCAGTTGTTGATCCCTTCAGTACAATGGTGGGGCCACGTGGTTGGGGGGTGGGAGGTAGTACTGCCCAGTGGTTAAAAATTTGGACTTCAGTGTCAGTCATTCCCAGGCTCAAACCCTGATTCCAGAATTTATCAGCTCTGTTACTTTGGGCAAGTCACTTATCTGGGTTTTAGTTTTGTTTTCTTTAAAATGGGCTTCAGAACAGTTGCCTACATTGTAGGGCTGTATAAAAGATAATCCTTTGAAATGCTTCAGGCAATAGTGAATATCTATGAAGTCTTTAGCTAGTGTTAAGAAGAGCAGTGTCAAGAAAGTGAATAAGAGGGGGATTGAATGCTAACATTTTCTTTTAGGCACACTTCAGGAAAGCGCAAGCCTTAGCCACCCTAGGCAAGGTGGAGGAAGCACTAAGAGAATTTCTATACTGTGTGTCCCTGGATGGAAAGAACAAAAGAGCAAGATCTGAAGCCCAAAGGGTGAGTTGAGATGACATCAGGTCCAGCTGCCCAGTGGGCTCCCATTTCACTGTCTTCTCCAGGAAGGGGAATGAGGGATCTGCCTTCCATGGCATTTGGGGTCTTGAGTTGGGGGGATCCCTGGGTTATGGAGACAGAATGGAGACACAAGTGCCAATTGATTGCTCCCAAATCACCCTCCTCTTGGTGTGTACAATTAGATAGACCTGTTGTTGCATTTCTGTAGGAACCTGTGAGAAATGTTCTTGCTTCTTTGACTCAGGATTTGGGTTTTCAGTGGGACAAAAAACAAGACAAAATAAATCCAAACTAGTTAACATGGGGATGGAGGCTCACTGAGGAGATTCTGGCTATTGACAGGAGGGCACAGGTGTGGGGCTGTCTGCAGCTGTATAGAACATTACTTTGACTGAGTCACAGCTTTACCAGCCACACTGGAAAGCCAGCTCCTCAGAAAGGATGCTGGTTCCCATCTCCCTTGCCATATGCACAACCTCAACCTTCAAGTCCATTGCTAGAAATAAAACACATACCCTATCTCACAAATGTAATTCAGGGGCCATTACAATATACAGTAGTACCTCAGTACTTGTCGTTAATTCATTCCAGAACTTGTGACAAGTGCCAAAACCAATGAGTACCATACGATAAAGCATTTTCCCTTGCGGGGTGGCGTCGTGACTCATACAAGTGCGATGAGTCCCGAGCAAGCACTGAGTGTTGAAACATTTTTTTCTTGTCAAAATGTGACAAGTAAGGGGTTTGACAAGTTCTGAAGCCAACGAGTACCAAGGTATGACTGTAATCCAAACAGTTGTTCCACCTCTTGAGTCCCAGGAGAATGTGGTTATTTGAAAAAGCTGCATGAAGTACTGAGAGTATTAGTGAAGGCTCAAGCATCCTCACTTTGCAGACTTTGTTACTTAGCCTTGTGCAGTGTGCTCTCAGTGTGCCTGGCTAATTGGCCTGAAGTTGGATGTTGACAGTCAGTGGTGGCCTCTGCTCTCCCTATGCCCCACCTCCAATTTACCACTACACCCCAAGTGCTTCTGTTCTAGTGTGGTTTGGCAGAGCATTAGATGAAAAAGGCAGCAAGAGACAGGACTGGTCTCCTGAAGGCTCCAGAAATGAATCTTCAGCAAAATCGATGTATGAAGGAAAGAGGAGCCCTGGAGGTTCTGCCTCTGACACATTTCTGGGGAGTTGTTTTGACCTGATTTGGGAATATGGACAAGGTAGTTCTTGAGAAAAGCACAGGTGGATCCTCCAAGCTGTGGACCCTTCCCCAAATCTTAAGTGTAGTCCATGGTGTGGATAATCATAATCATAATCATAATCATAATAATAGCCGACACTTATTGAGTGTTTCCTATGCACCAGGCAGTGTGCTAGGGCTCTCTGTGGAAGATATAATTTAATCCCCACAACATGTCTATGGGAATAGGTACTATTATTTGTCCCTATGTTACAAATAAGATGGATGAGGATTCTGAGGCTTGGTGACTTTCCCAAGGTCACACAGCTAGTGATTGGTGGAAGAGCATTCAAACCCAACTCTGCCTGCTTCCAGAGTCTGCCTTCTAGCTGCCTCACCATCCCGCTGTTCTGGGATGACACTCCAGGACTTTCAGCATTCATTGCTGGAGCTGGGCGAAGAGTAGCAATGGGACCATCAAGATCTGGACTGGCTGGACAGAGGCAGTTAGAAAAACCTTGACTTTGGGGACAGAGTATGCAAAGGCCAACAGAGGCAGATGTCAGGTTCAAGGATGAGAGGCATAAGCCACAGTGTTAGTCCTCAATGTGTTGAGGCTGAAGCTGGGGCAAGAATTTAGAGGCAAATATCCCCTAAGTGTGACAAGAGCATGATAGCCATTTAAGAACACTGAGGGCCCTCAGCAGTGTTTATTTACTGTATTTTCCCACTTTCAGATTTGATAGAGATGGTCCAGGTTCACTTGGCATTAATTAGTTACCTTAGACACAGACCTCAGATTCTTTTTTTCCCCTTCTTGACCCATTTGGGCCTTTTTTGGGCTGATACTGAAGTAGGTCTGACTTTCACGTATGTGGAATGATTATTCTCACTGATAGTTGACCCCAACTTTTGTTTTCCAAAGCCACTGGGAAGGCTGAGAATAAAATCTCAGGTAGTAAAAGGAAGAAACAAAGTGCTGCTATTGTTTCTGCCTTGTTTCCCTTGATCTCTCCCTTCTACCTCAGCTCCCTCTCACCAGCTCTGCCCTTTTTATCTTCATACCTTAAGATGGTGTGTGGCTGCTACTGAAGAGAATCACACTGTTTTGGGAAGAATGTGAGAGATTGCTTTAGAAATGAGTTGATCCTGTTGGGCCATTCAGGACGGCTTCTGAGAGCCAACTTTGGCTTCTGTGCAGGAGAGGCCCTGAAAGCTGGCATTTATGCCCCTGGGTACTGTAAGTGCCTCCTCACCTCACTCCTTTACCAACTTAGACCTAGGAAGTGGGTTTCCAGAAATGGAAAGATACAGATCTGTCTGAGGACTTTGGGCCAAACCCAAGGGCTCTTCCTGGGTCCTGGGATGGATAAGTGTCTTAATTCAATTCCATCCAGTGTGATGAGTATATGTTGGACATCTATATGTGACCTCTAGAAGCTGCCCATCTGGTGAGAGAGAAAGACTTATATCTGTGATAAAATTTGAGGCTGACACGAGACTATGCAGTGTAAGGTGCTATATTATAGTTTAATGGAGAACACGAAAGGACAGGTGACATCAGGGAGGCTGGAGTAGTAGGGGTAGGTAGCACTGGAACTGAGCCTTGAAGGCTGAGCAGGGTTTGGTTACGTGGTAAGTGCTGGCATCTGAAGGAACATCATGAAGGAACTGTGGGGGCCAGCAAAGGGACAAGTCAAACTGGAGAGAGTTTGGTCAGAGTTTCTGTCAGGTTCCCTTGATCAGTTAATATCCTGACTATGTACCCTGAACAAGGGGGTGAAGCATCCTTTAGTGGGTCTCCAAACACTGCAGGGGCCTCTCAGTGGTGAACACTTGAATGTTTTAGAAGCCAAGTGACCTGTTCCGTGTTACATGTTACATACAATATATACACATGTATTCACAGTCCCTGTTGGCACAGGGGCAAATTGAGGCAAGAATATAGGCAGCCAATGATGCAGCCTATACTAGAACACCTGTCATTGACTCCCAGTCCCTTCTGGATCTTCTCACCCAACAGGCTTATCCAATCACAATGGAACCAGCTATACACTGGAACTTGTCTGCCCCAGTACTAGTGTTTGAAGTTACTTGACTTTCTTTGAAAAGTGAAGGTCAGAATAGAGGACAAGAGGCTGGGAACAGGGAGGAAGGTCAGCTTCTGCTTTTTCTAACACTTCAGTGCGAAAGGGATTAAAGATCCAGGGATGATGGTTAAGAAAAGAGGAAGTAAAATGGACAGGCAAAGGGAAGAAATATCGGAACCTAGAAGACAATGGTAGACTTTTACCCACTGAGGTATTACAAACATGCTTCCAGGTCCCCCAGGTGATGTTTGTCTCCTGCCTTCACTTCTTTGTCCCTTTTCTCCTAAATAGGTTTTTAAACCCTATGCAGATATTTCTATGTAGTGGTAGCACTGGGGTGATAGTTCTTAAGTTTGACTAGGGTGACAGAGGCATCTGTGATGCCTTTTAAAAATGCAGATTCTTGGGCCACACTTCAGACCTGGGGAGCCAGGCATGGGAACTCAGAAGCTGGACTTTTAGTAAGCTCCCAAGAGATTCTGATGCATGTTGAAGTGAGGACTCCAGCAGTGGTCTGCCCTGGTCTGCCCTGGTCTGCCCTGGTCTATCTGGTCCAAGGCTTCCCCCCTGGAGTTTTGCCCTGCAAGGTTTGCCCCCTGCCCCTTCCTACCCCTCCCCCTTCACCTTAGTCCCTGTGGAAATTTAAGTAGTGAAGTCTTCTGTTTTATGTCACAGCTTCTCCTTAGTTTCTTTTCACCATCAGTCCCGGGGGATTCTCAGGAACATTCTCCCGATATCCTGAAGCTGTTGGCACCTCACCCTAGATTAAAGGAACACGTAGAGTCAATGGCTACTGAAGGCACCAGCCATAATCTACCAAAGTTGTCACAGGTAAAACTCAACTCACCCAGCTTGTTTGTGACGCTTCGTTTGGCTGTTTTGTGGGCAAGCCTGGGGAGTGAGCCCTACCTCTCCTACTTCAGTTCCTGAGAAAGAAGAAATGGAATGGCTAGTGGTTATGTTCTTTGTTAGAAGGTTACTTCTTAAAGATAAGACTGGATTTCAGGCATGGTCCCAGGGTTTATGATTTGTTACATTTATTTTTCAGTTCTTGGTTTAGACCCAGCTGAGAGAGATTTGACAGAACTGGGAAGGAATTGGTCCTCTTCTGTTGGAGCCATTCAATGAGGTGGCTTTATCAGCCTAGGGGTGGAGCCTGGGAAAAGGGCCTGACAGCTCCTCCTTTCCTGCTTTTTGTTTGTTCAACTTGCTGGTCTTTGAGCACCAGCTGATTTCCTTGTGTAAAGACAAGTCCATTTGATTCCCAAGTGGAAGTAATTACCTATTCCTGCAACATGCCTCATACACGTAAGTAGACTTCCAGTACCTATTTGAGGATGAGAAAAGGAAAGCAATTAGGGAAGGGTTAAGTTCCTGGGAGGAAGACAGGTATTTGTGCTTTTCTTTGAAAACAAAGGAACAGAATCACGGAGAGATGGGTTCCAGGCCCTGGCTTTCTCAGCAGACCACAAGTGGGAAGCCGCTGGGGTGCAGACTTGAAGGCAGGGTTTAGTACTGACTACTTCAACTCCTTGGGACTGCAGTCCCTGCTCCACTTGGGCCCTGTGTTCTTCCCCTGTGTGGAAGCCCTGGGATCTCTGTGGCTTCTTGGATTCTCTGGCAAGTAGAAACCTTACATTGTCCCAGTTTCTCTCCCTGCTCAGGAGGAGGAATGAAATGCAGGTGTTTCCAACTCAAAAAGGGGGAAGGCAGAACTCAGAGTATCTTCTAAAGTCAGAGAAGCCTTAGTACATTTCAATAATTGTATGAGATCATGATTACATGAGTAAGAACACTAACACTGAAGCAAAGTGCCTGGAGTGACTTCTAATTGTAATTCAATCCAAAATGAAGAAAAAGGGCACCCCTGGCTTTCCAGTGAGAGCCAGCTGGGGAACAGGGACAGGGTTTCCATCTCAACTGTGCTTTGCAAAGCAGGGTCCTCCTGTTTAGACAATGCCTAGGGCTCATGAGAGTAGAGGACACAGCATTGTTATGGTGCTGGGAAAAAAATCCCTGAACTCCCCAGGTTAGAGACTGAGAAAACCCACAGCCTTTTTCTCCTCACTGCATTGTTTTCTTCCAACCTTATGGCTCTCATTTTTCATCTGTCTACCAATTTTTTTGGCTGGGGTTGGAAGGGAAACAGGAACATGGGCATTTGGACCTGTAGACTATGGATTTAGAATAGAGAGGGATTCTCCAGGTAAATCCGCATAAACACTTTGTCATTGGATTTATTTCTAGATCCATTTTCAAATATCCCTCTCCTGGACAAACATTCTTTAAAAGGCTAGAGACATTATTGATTGTTTTACCCAATGATTTTTTCTCTTTTTCAGATTTCTTCCTTAAAATCTAGTAAAGGGAATAGTTTGGACCTAGTTCATTTGAACAGTATAAGATATACCTCTGGAGCATGAGGTAACTCTGCAGGCCTATGGACATACCTGTGCCAAAGCCTTACTTAAAGTCCTTTTGGAGCTGGGCTGTGGGGCTTGCAGCTAGCCTAGAATGGTGGTAAGGTGAGAGGAAGCACTGAGTGACAGGGTACCCTCACTGCATGCCTTGCTTTCCTTAATGTTGGTAACTGGGGAATGATCTGGATAGGAGAGGGGACTGGTGCTACATCTTACATTTCTCCCCTTCACCACTGCCCAAGGAATCTCTCCTCTACATGCCTTTCTGTCCTTGTCTAGGGAAGTCCCTCCACTCTGCCCAAGCTGGGCATGCCTTTGTCATTGATGATATGTAGGCAGAAGTAGGAAGTATGCCTTATGACTACTCTCCCCAGTTAAGCTACGTGTCCACTAAATGATCAGAGCTGCGTAGTTCTCTCTCTGTCTCTTGTGGATGAATATCAGAGCACGGTATTGGTCCTTAGTAGATTCTGATCTTTGGCTCTTTCTTCCTCTAGGAAAATATGGAGCTCCCACATTGTTCCAGTAAGGAGGATGCAGCAGCCAGTGGGGACCATAAAAGCCTGATGAACCCAGTGAAAGTAAAGGAGGATGGGCAGCGAGGTGACATGAAACACCAGGAAGGAGAAGAGGAGGAGAAGGGGGACTCTGCCTCTCTAGAAGCTGCCTGCATCAAGACTGGCAAATGCCAGGAAAAGAAAAGGAAACATTGTCAGATTGAACCCCAAGACACAGGGGTGCCTAATAAAGCCTCTAAGCCAGGTACAGACTCTACCCAGGGTGAAAGGGGCTTGGAGGAGATGCCTGGGTTCCCCAGTATATACAAGTTTTTTTTGCTCTCCATATAAGGGCTCCTGAAGCTCTGGGTGTGTGGCCCTGCTCTGGCACTTAGCTGTGACACCTCAGGAGTTGCTGGGAAGTTTCTATGAGAACATGCACAGTTCCCAGCGTACTGCCAGTGCTCAAGAATAATTATAATGGAAAGCCAAGGCATAAGGTCAAGCACAGTCTCAAGCAATGATACCCAATGCCCTTGATGGTGTCACTTCTTGCGAGGCCAAACTCTCCCTACCCCGATCCCTGTTCCAGGAATGAAGGACCAGCCGTGTGATCAGGCTCATTCCCAGTTGTGTTTCTGTAGGTAGGCATCTGAGAAGCAGCAGCTGCAGCTCAATAGCTTTCTAAGAGAGGTGGGTAGTGCCAAGATTCAGTATCAGCTTTGAAGGCCCAGCGCATTCCATGGAGTTGCTGCTGCTGCTCCTGCTGTATGAGATGCCTGTTATGCTAGAATGAAGTCCCCAGGGCTCCTGGAGATCCCCTAACTTGCACTTCTCTTTTAGTAGGGCTGTTGGACACCTTGAGAGTCTAATTCAGGGTGTCCCATTCTCACTGGGTCAGGTGGCCACTAAATCAACTTTCTAGAAGGGGGTGAGTGTGGAAACCAAAAAAAGTAATTGGGTTCTTTAGCCTCAGAAGTACAGACTGTGAAGCCAAGGTAGGTCCAGCTCTGACTTATTGCTTTCTAAATCACAGATCCTCCCATCAATATGGAGGCCAAACCTGCTCTTAGTGTTCCCCTGGTATCTTTTGACGCATCTGACCTTGAATGCTCCCTATGTATGAGGTATGTGATGTGTGGTATCACTTACTGCCTGAGCAGTATTCCTCTCTGGCGTGTAGATCTTTCTGCTAGCGATGCACTGCTCCATCGGTTAGCACATAAAAACATGGTTCCAATGAAAAGGAGATTACATCAATTGTGACATACACTAGCTTGTGTCCTCTGTTTACTGATTGCATTCCCTATACTTGGAAATACTGAGAGAGTGGAAAGAAATGTTCTACTCAGAGGTCACAACCTGGCAGCCCCCAGGCTGAATGTCTTGTGTTTGGTCTTCACAGGATTTTTTTTGTTGTGAAATGCAAGTATCTTGAGACAGGACACACACTCTCCAGTTGGTAATGGTCCCTCCCCCACTCACTTCCTTACATTAGCCTGCATCTCACATTTGCATCACTTTCCTGGCCTTTATAGGTATCTAGATTATGACTCTGAAACTAATGTTAACTACTGGATCAAGACCTCAAAGCTCAAGGCCTAATGTCAGTGCCACAGGTCTATTCTTTGGAAACAAAGTAGAAGGCCTGCCTAGTGTTTGTTTTGTTCCATGAAGAGGATTAGTAGTAAGCCTGTACTGCTTGGCCAAGCATCTTTCCTTCTCCCAGTGTATTATCATCTGAACTTTTTCAGATATCTTGAGAGGCAAATTATCCAAATGCCTCCCTACCCAACCAAAGGAAGCTGCTATAATCATGGTCTATGTGGAAAAACAAAATACTTTCATTTGTTTTATTTCAAAGCTGTGACTTTGTGGCTAAGAAGAGGAGCTCCAAAGCTAGAGAGCCTGGGCTTGAGCCATGGCTCTGCCACTTACTAGCTGTTGGACCTGCAGCACATGACTCTGTGCCACTGGTTTCTCATTAGTAAAATAGATAACAGTGGTCCCTATCCTATGGGGTGGTTATGATTAATTGAGAAAATTTACTTAAAACAATTAGCATAGTGCCTGACATGGAGTAAGTACTCAATAAATGTTAATTACTTTTTTGTCTTAGACCATAGGTTCCTTACTTTAGGTCCATGAGGAGGTTCCATGTATACATTCTAACAGATCTACAGATTCCCTGGTGTTGTATGTAAAAGTGTACAAGGTCCACAGTTTTCAGTAAAGTCCCAAATCTGTCTTTTTTTTTCTAAAAGAATGCAAAAGGAGATTGAGATACTTGCACAAAAGTTGTTCAGATGGTTGAGGCAAGAGAAGATATGTCAAGAAAAAAAAGCTTTTGGTCCATCACACAGTAGGATCCAGCCAGCAGAGGATCCTCAGATATTTTCTTGTCCTTTACAAGCCTTCCATATCAATCACATCCATTTGTACTCAGAATGACTTTTCTTGCCATCCTGAATAAAAATGAGTAAGGCAGCCATTACCTGAACATCTACCTTTTGTTTCTCTTAAAAGAATTAGAGTTGGCAGATTTGCTCATGAGCTCAGACAGATGTGATAATGAACAGTTCAACAGATGGAATATAGAAGCACTCAAGGAAAGCCTTCCATATGCTGTTGGGAGTTTGTTTCCTTTTACCACCTCCCTCTCCTCCACAAAGTGGCAGGTGGGTCATGCCAGAACCAAAGTATGGGGTAGAGAAACTGCTTCCCAGCAGAGCAATGGGCTTCCACAGGAAATGCTATGGTGGCTCTAAGCCTGTGATGTGAGCTGTGGACTTTCATATGTCAAACTTTGAGAGACTTGATTCAGCTTGCTCAGAAAGCCCAACTCTTTGGTGTACTTACCCCTTTTCCTGACATCCAGGGGACACAGAATCAAAAACACAGACTCATACTGTTTGTGTTTTCCCTGAGGACTAAGAATCCTGAGGTTGAAGTTCTTTTGTTCCCTTTCCTCTGTTTTCTCCCTTTCATCTTGTTTGTCCCTGGTCTCAACAGGGGGCTTCAGAGAAGGGTTAGAAATCTGGTCCAAGAAGTAAACACCAAGATAAGACCCCTTTTAGTTTTCTTGCTCTGACTTTAAAAGCTATTATTCCCTTATCCTGCCCCCTCTGTTCCAAGTGAGAATTCAAAACAAAAAGCCATGTTTGTCTGGAGTGGCTCTTTTATAGGTCAGGGAGTTATAGGGGGACCCTAGCTGCTTTATGGCAAAAAGAAACCTTCCAAATTCAGAGAACACTTCTGATCTCAAGGCTCTTAAAACTGTAACCCTTTGTTAGAAGCATGTAGTTCCCTTTTCAACTAGGTTCGTCTCTAAGTCACAATTCAGATGTTGATAGGGGCTATTTCATATACATGCTTTAGCTTGAATTATTGTAGTCTCAAAAAAGCTCCTGTTTCACTTCTCTTTAGTGTTTTTCTTCTTATCATTGTGGTTAGGATTATTACTAGGTTCTGTTATGACCCTCATGTGTCTTTGGGGGAGAAGGTCTAAGGGGACAGATATTTTAAAACAATCTGCTGGGTCGTAAACTAGACATTTGTATCTTCTATGCAAGTTTCTAGAATTAACTGCAGTCCTGTGGTGCTGCATTGGTAGAAGATGAGTTAGAGTGCGAATTTATCTATTGTGAGTCTAGGGAGAAAATAAGGAACAGCTTATAAATTCCGCAGGAAAGGGTGAAAAGAGTGAATGGAGCAATAACTGGCGGCTGCATTCATGAGGAAGTTTTCAGTCTCCAACTCTCCCTTTGCTGGGCAGGTTTCTTCCTAATTCCAACACCTCAGAATTCTGCCCCTCAGTCTTTGGTGACAGAAAATCCTCCCTTGAGATTTACCTGATATGGATACCCTAGTCATGGGGTGTCACCTCTGGGGCTCCTGTGGAGAAGCACCTTTGGGTGACAAGAATATTCTGAGATATGGAGCAAGAATGTTTGATATCTGAACCAGTTACCTAATGACCCAGTGACCTCTTTGTCAATTAAAACAAAAAAAACTTTATATTTAACCTAAGTTTAGCTATTCAACCACCTGGGTGTTAAGGAGTCAGTTCTTTCTGTTCTATTCTATTCTCTATCCCTCTGTCTATCTCCCCCTCCTTCTCTGTCCCTCTTTGCTGTCATTTGATAGCAGCAGAGGAACACAATACAAGGATGTAACTGGTAGGAAAAGATAGCTATTTTCAGATAACCTAAACATTTTATCCAGGCTGAGATCTAACTGAAAACATTTATTATTACTATTGTTTAATCCCTCATGTAACAAGGTAAAATGTTTTCCTGTGGAAAACTCTGGCTCTATTCTGATTTGTAAATGTATCCATGAAGTGTTTGCTGAAATCATTGTCAAAAGTGGTAAAGAAAAAATAGAAGAATTTGAGAGTATATCTGTTATCTAGCTCCCTATCTATCTATCTATCTATCTATCTATGCATCCATCCATCTATCTCTACAGAGTTGTCTCTCAAGGGAGAGGAGAAGGGAGGGAAGGAAACAGAAACAGAGGGAGAAAAGTGTGTGTGAGTATGTGCTTCTACATGTACAGGGATGATGTCTGTTCTAGAGATAGAGGTATACACAGTCATGGCCATGTCATATGGTGGAGAAAGAAGATGTGGCTGGGAATCAGATGTGACATCATAGCCAAGCCCTCATTAACCATGTGACCTTGGGCAAGTTATTTAACTTGTCTGGACCTTAATTTCCTCAGTCATAAAATGGAGCTAATAATAATTATTGCCTATTAATATATAAACTTATGTGAACACACCCATAGTATTGTACACACCCAGAATAGCAGTAGGACAATAGGAACAACATTCCATCTGTTTCTAATCACTTTACTCAGTCAGCCTTTGTAGTACAGTCACTCTGAATATAGAAGAGAATTCAGTGTTGAAAGGTGATATATTCTAAGCATTTGAACCTTGAGTTATTTCAAAGCAATAATTATGTGCCATCTGTGGCAGCACTTTTGTTTGTGACCATGCAGATCAGGGCCATTTAATCATAGCTCTTACAAAGAGCTGCTGTATCCTTTTGTATGTATTTCACTCATCTGCTCATAAAATGTCAGCAGTTATTGCAATTAATTAACGAGCTATATCATTGTCATTTTATGTGAATTACATTGTTAAATGAACTAAAGATCCAATACTGAAATTCTCAGGCAAAATAGTTTTGCAGATACAGATTCACCAATCATCTTCATCATTAGCCTCACTGAATAATGTAAAGCATTCAAATTCATGAGACTGACATTACTGAGGAAGTGAGATACTCTGGTTTGGCTGTGTTAGTACTTAGATCACAGTGTGAGTCCCCAATCAGCCTGTAAATCACACTTTTGAACAACATTTTAATTGTGAAATATACATGGTGGGAAAGTACATAAAATATAAGTGTATGCTCTTACCAAAATATTGTAAAGAGGACACTCATACAACCCATCTCGGTTCAAGAAATGAAAGTGTCAACACCCAAGAAGCTGCCCAGACACCACTTTCAAATCACAACTCCCTCACCCTCCTCCTGAAACCACTATCTTCACTTTTATCTTTTCTTTAAAAAGATAGTTTTACCACCCATGTATGCATCTCTAAACAGTGTAATTTAGTTTTGCCTATTTTTTTTTAAAAATCCATTATGTAAATAGAATTATCCTGAATATATTCTTTTGTTCTGCCTTCTTTCCCTCAGTATTAAGATTTACCAATGTTATTATAGGTAGGTGAAGTTTGTTCATTTTCATAAGTGTACATATATTGTCCCATTGTATGAATCTACCACAATTATTAGTTCTATTATAGATGGATATTTGGGCATTTTCCAGTTTGGGGCTGTTATGAAGAACATTGCTATGAACAGTTTTTATGTATGCTGGTGCATATAAGTCTTCACCCATTTTCGATTAGGTTCTCTCTTATTTTCTTAATGACTAGCAGGAACTCTATGGGTGTTCTAGATACAAGTCTTTTGTTAGTCAGTGGTGCTGCAAGCACCCTCTCTCATTCTGTGGCTTGCCTATTTGCTTTCTTAATGGCATCTTTTCATGAACTTGCAAGTTCTTAATTTTAATGAAGTAAAAATTACCAATCTCTTCAGTTATAGTTAGTGTTTTTTGTATGTGTCTTGTTTAAGAAATCTTTTTTTTAAACCTTGAGGTCATAAAGATATTCTATTTATCTTCTAAAAGCTTTACTGTTTGTCTTTCACACTTATTTTTACAGCCCACATGGAACTGATTTTTGTGTATAGTGTTAGAAATGGTTTAACTCCATTTCCCTCTGTGGATAACCAACTATTCCCAAATAGTGCTTATTGTGCTTGCTTCGGCAACATATATACCAACTAGCATTTATTGAGAATGCTATTTATGTACTGAAAATCTCCCTTCTGTTTTGAAATGTCACATTTGTCATAAATCAGAAATCTGTGTCTGGATCTATTTCTGGGCTTTCTATTCTATTCCACAGATTTATGTGTCCTTGTGCTAGTCCTAAACTGTTTTAATCACTAGAGCTTTATAAATTCTGACGTCTGGTAGACCAAGTCCTCCCACATTATTGCTCTTCAGAAGTGTCTTGGCTCTTCTTGGTTCTGTGACTTGCCTTATAAAGTGTAGAATGCAACTTGTTCCACAAAAACAAACAAATAAGTGAAATAACCTGAGGGATTTGTATTGGTGCTTATTTAGGTCTTCTTTATTTTCTTTCAATGAAGCGTTTGTAGTTGTTTCCAATAGCAGTGTTGTACAACTTTTGTTAGATTTATTCTTGGGCACTTGACTTTAAAAAGCAATTGTAAATGTCATTTTTAAAAATCAATTTTCTCATGTTTGTTGCTGATATATAGAATACTGTTGTATGTGTACTTTTGTAGTATTGTGAATTCTATAACTAGAATTCTAATTCTAGTATTGTAACCTTGTGAATTCTAGCAACTCTTATTAATTCTAATAATCATTAGGTAGACTCTTTTAGATTTTCTAAGTTCACCATCATACTATTTGTGAATAATGACAGATTTGGTGTTTTTTCTTCCCAGCTCTCAAACTTTGATTTATTTTTCTTTTTGCCTTAGTGAACCAGTTAGGACCTCCATCATAAAGAGGGTTTTTTGAAAAGTAATTTTACTTTTTGGACGATGTAATAACTAAAATGCATTACTTGAAAGTAAGTTAGTTACTTTTAAAACAGGGTTATAACATTCAAAAAGTAGAACAAAGTGAATATATGAAAAGTCTTGCTCCTACTCCAGATCTACAATGGCTTGTTAAAAATATCAAATCACTGTCCCTCTCCTTGACCTGCTGACTGACCAAGTTTATCCAGCAGGGATTCGCCATGTCTACATGTTTAAAGCTCCACAGGTGACAGAAGGTATTGCCTCTGCACAGATTAGTAGGAGTGTATGATACAGTGATTCTCAACTCTGGTTGCACATTAAAACCACCCAAGGAGCTTTAAAAAGTCCTGATGCCTGACTGGCCCTTACTCTGAACCAACTGATGTGAATCTCTGCAGATGTGGTCCCGGGCATGTGTAGTTCTTAAAAGTCCCCCAAGTGATGGGGAGGGAAGGATGAGGAGGAATCAGAGGGAGGGTTTACAAAGGGGCATGAGATGTTTGAGGGTGACAGATATGTTCACAATCTTGATTGTGTAGATGATTTCATAGGTGTGTGCATATGTTACAACTTACCAAACTGTATAATTTAAGTATGTACAGTTTATCACATGTCAATTATACATCAATAAAGCTGTTTAAAGAAAAAGCTCCCCAGTAGACTCTCACACACAGCAACAGTTGAGAATCATTGTTCTAATAGAAAGAACACATGACTGGAGTGAAGCTGGAGATCCTTTCATTGGCCAACAGTTAACTGTGTACATATAGATAAGCAACTGAATCCCCCCTAGACTTCAGTTTCATTCTGGTTGATGAGTTCAATTTTTTCTCAAGTACTTTTCAGCTCTGATATTTTGATTCTTATGCTCAGTCTGGCAGTGTGGGCCAGGCTGCTGATGCACCTCTCAGCCAAATCCACATGAGGGGGCTGTGCAGCTGGTAGCCTCTCCTCTCAACGGATGCTCTTGTGAGGTCAAAATAGTCTGGTCAGGGTCTTTCCCTTCTTTCTGTCCTCTTGGTGAGTGAGAGCTCCATTTATAAATCATCATTTTTAGCTGCCCCAACCCAGTGGTTCTGCTACAGGTGAGCCTTTCTTTAAGCAAAGTAAATCCATGAATCTCTCAATGTACAGAATAGCTTTTAAAAAGACCCCCAGATTACTTCAAAAACACATCCAGCTCCCACAAAACAATTAAAATAGAATTTAAGTGAAGTATATATATGCATATATATGTACATATGTATGTAAATATCTATCAGTAAGCACGTTAATAATATTACTCTACTGCTCCTAGAACAATGATTCATTCATACAAAACACAGTTATATTGATATGTTTGTTACAGGTGCAATTTCAAGATCCTTCAAGGAGTAAATATTGTGTAGGTACAAAATACAGTCAAGGTTAGCAAAGAAACCAAATCTTTTTCCATTGCCATGTGATATAAAGTAGTTAAACAGGTAAACATATGAATATGTGTGTGTTTATCTATCTGTGTGTTTGCATATACTCAGGTGAAGAGGTTGGCTAAATATTTTAGAATAGAAGAATCTATTCAGACACTCTATGTATTCATCTATAGAGAGTGAAAAAAATCTGGATGCCCCAGAAGAGACTGACTAGAACTAATGTTACAAAATGATCTAGCTATGTCCTGAACTTTAATAAATGCATTCTTTTACAATTCAGCTCAGAAATAAAAAGCAAATGCTTTTCTGAAGTGAAACAACATGGATTAAGAAAAAATGAACTGCCCCCAACATGCAGAATTTTCCAAATAATACTATAAAACCTTAAAATTCAGTAGCTCTGTCTTTTATTTTTGGTCTTATTGTAATTTTCTTCCATTTTGATTTCTAAATTTCAGATTATTCTATGAGCCAGTCACAACACCTTGTGGACACACATTTTGCTTAAAATGCCTTGAAAGATGCCTAGATCACAATGCGAAGTGTCCACTGTGCAAAGATGGTCTTTCACAGGTAAAACATTGTTTTTTTCCTGGTTTGGTTGGCATATTTGGAATTGGGTACTTAACAGAGTGTCCTCTTGTATCCCAAGCCACTGCACTGTGCTAGGGCAAAATACCCACTAGACCATCTATCTTTCTCCTGTTTTACAGCAAACTCCTCTCCTCTCCACAAAGTCCTTTAGAAAAATGAGGCAACACCTAGCTTTTTATAAACTGTTGGTAATTAAATGAATTTGTATTGGAAACAAAAGTATTACATTGATGATAAAGATGGATCTTGGTTCTATTCCCATAATGGCACCTGATTCACTGTAATGTTGAGTAAATCTTGTATTCTCTCTTGGCTTTTACTAGATAAGCTCTACTTCCCCTTATCATCAATGTTAATTCTATGGTTTGAAGACATCATTCCCAAGGCTGCAGAAACTTTATGGACCTTCAATGTCATTCTTCTTCTGCCCCTCAGCAGCCACTGTATTTATTAGTAGATCCTTGGCTACTTGAAAAGCTCTGGGACTTCCAGGTCCTCTAAAATGAATCACACAAATTACCACCTTCCTTTTTCAAGTGGACCTGATGGAATTTTCTTTAGCACAAGAAGACCAAGGAGTCCATTTTGTTTTCCCTCCCTCAAGAACTTGCATGCCACATTTTAAAATCAGTATTAATGTTCCTTGACCCCTGTCATCCTCGAGGAGAGGTTGGTGACACAAGACTATTTCTAAGTGAATGTAGGTCCAGAGAAGTCATATATTGAGCTTTACCAACACTGCAACATTTAAACTAAGGCAATGGAGTGAAATAATCATCCAGGATAATCCTGAGAGTTTGTATTGGGTTGGGGGAGAGTCAGTGTTATACCTTGCCTAGGTAAAGGGGTAGGATTTGCTACTGATTGTATGTAAGAAGCATACAGTCCTTATACTTAAATAATACATTTGTATTATGGTAACACTGCAACATTCAGATAAGCAGAAAGTTTACCATTATGTTCATCACCTGGAGAAAACTACCATTAATAGTTTAGTATGTGCCTTTGCTGAGTTTTTGTTTTAGCATTAGTAGAAGACTCACCTCCTTCTTGGGTTAGCTACCTCCTGAGTTATTGCTTTTCCCCAATACTAGGGCTGGGCAAAGCAGTTGGTTTTCCTGCAGCCATGCAATGGCAGTGGCTGATAAGGTATCCGGGAGGCAGATGCTGCAGGGTCCCAGACTTAGGGGATAGAAGATATTCTCATCTATCTCTTTGTATTCACACAGGATCACACACCATTTGCCAGAGAAATAAATATCTTATGCTAATAATATTCCCTGCAGAATAGACAGACCTAGCCCATACCAGGAAAGGAAATACATTGTCTGAAGTCAGCAATTTTATACTCAGGAGCTCTCCCTGCTGGGCCTGTGTGGGTAGCTTCCATAGTGAGCAACTCCGCAGATGCTTTATTGCCTGGTCCACACAGTTAAATGCCCCTTATATACAGATGTCTGGATATGCTTGCGGTAGGGGATATGGGTGGAGAGTAATAGTGACAATGAGACTGAGTTCAGCTCTGAAATAATGTTCATAATATAATTTCAGTGATACCTAGATGGTATATATATAAAAAAAGAAATAGACAAACAAAATCGCCAGTATTTAACTTATTTTAAGATAGAGAAGAAAAATATTTAGACTTGAAATATCCAGAAGACAAACATTGAGATGGTGTGGGGGTGGGGCAGGGCAGGAAAGAATCAATGATTGAGAATTGCTTTTTAGTTCCCTGAAGCTTTTGATCACAGACATTCAGCAAGTCCCAGGTGGAGACCATTTCTGTGAGCTTGAAAACACAATAATAGAAATGGGAAAGGGAGGGATTTCTCCCCCACCACCATCTTTTTTAACAAGAACATGATCTTAATTTCAGTGTTTAGGGAAAGCAATGAGATTTTTAAAACATAAGTGCAAGTCTTCCCCTTGTTAGAATACTTTTTCTTTTTATTGTTAGTTTTTAAGCATTTTAAATTTTATTGACTTTCTGATTTTGTAAAAAAGTTAATCTTTTTTATTTTTAAAAAAGATTTTATTTATTTATTTTAGAGAGGGGAAGGGAGGGAGAAAGAGAGGGAGATAAACATCAGTGTGCAGTTGCCTCTCACATGCCCCGTATTGGGCACCTGGCCTGCAACCCGGGCATGTGCCCTGACTGGAAATCAAACTGGCAACCCTTTGGTTCACATGCCAGTGCTCAATGCACTAAGCCACACCAATAGAGGCTAAAAAAAGTTAATCTTAAGGTCATACCTCTAAGTTTGATGTACTATATACAGATTGTGTAGAATAAGACTATGAAGAGATACAAATTAGTCCATGCCCAAAAGAAGATTTACTAAAGAATCATCTTCATAAATACCTATAAAATTCTTGTGAAGATAGGACTGTCCAGGTTTTCTGAGATGCTTTCAAAGTAATGCAAGGCACAGAATGTACACCATTGTGAATATACATATATTCCAGGCTTTGTGCTTCTAATACAGTCCATCAAAGATTTGGCTTCATGAATACTTTTTCTAACTAGAATAATCAAATGCATGTGTTTTTTAATCTGTATTGAATTTATTGGGGTGATATTGGTTAATAAAATTATATAGGTTTCAATCACACAGTTCTATAGTAAATCATCTGTATATTGTATTGTGTGTTCATCATCCCAATTCAAGTCTCCTTCTGTCACCACTTATCCCCCCTTTACCCTCTTCTACCTCCACCCACCCCCTTTCCTCTGGTAATCACCATACTGTTGTCTGTTTATTTTTTAACTGTAACATCCAGAGAATACATACATTATGATAATATCAGCTGCTAATGTGTGGGTCCAAATTACTCCAATATGCGGGTCATTTCACTAGTCTACTGAATGCATCAGAAGTGTTTTGTGTTTTTCTAATGACTGCATAAAATGTCTAATTGCCTTGTTCCTCATATAGTGTTTGGCATCAAGAAAATATAGCAAAAATATTATAATGGAAGAGCTAATAGCTAAATTCCTTCCAGAAGAACTCAAGGAACGAAGGAGGCTTTATGAAGAGGAAATGGAAGAACTTTCTAAGTATGTATATGCAGATTTCTATTTTGAGTTTCACTCATACCAGCTCACAGAGCTGAATGTGCACATTTCTTCCTAACTCTTCATTAAGTGACATCATGTTGGTAGCTTGAAATTGGCCATAGTGAAAGTATTTACACTATGGAAATTGGCAAATGTTATATAAACCAGGGATTTTTTTCCCGTAGAAAGTCGGTTGTTCAACATTTGCCAGCACACCGTTGAGGAAGCATTAGCCAAACCACCAACTGGGTCATATCTTGGCACTAGTGATTGAGTGTCACTGGAAGGAGTAAGTTGGAACAGCTTAAGTGTCTAGAAGTGTCCAGGAGACTTTTTTCAAATACATAAGGAGGTGCTGTGAGGTTAAGAACTTTGGTGTCAGCCAGACATGGGATCATGACCCACTTTCGCCACAAAGTAAATGTATTTCATGACCCTAGGCCAGTCACTTCACCTCTCTGGGCCTTCGTTTCCTCATCTGTACTTTGGGGATGATAATAGTTCTTACTTCATGGCTTGTTATGAATATCAAATGAGCTAGTGACTCGTAAGCACTTAATAAATGATAATAGTAAGAATGCTGCTTTCTCTGCCATGCACAGGTCTTGTGAGAGGTGAAGGGGAGGGATGGTGTTGCAAATAGGGCTCCAAGCTCTCTGGCTGGAAGAAAAGCCCCTTTAGAAGAGAAAGCAATAGGCAATCACTAATTTCTTCCTCTCATACTGCTGCCTTCTTGTCTCCACCCAGTGGAATCCTCACCGCATTCCGGGGGTGAGGTTCCTGATGGCAAAAGTTGTTCTGCTTTTATGCCCACCCTGTAGAGAACCATTTCTAAACTGCCACCAGTTTGTCTGAATGTCCCTCTCATTTATAACAACATGTTTTCCTGGGAAGCTAGAAATGAAATCCTCTCTTTCTCATTAACTTATATTAGATCTACTTAGGGCATCTTTATCTTTATTTCTGATTCTTAAGTTTGCCTTGAATCTCTGAGCCCTCCTCTTGAATATTATTTAATGTTTTATTAACAAACACTGGAATATACTAGAGGGATTTATATTTAAAGGCATCATAAACTTAATCCTTTTGGGATTTGGGCAAATGGTCTTATATCTATTGATAGGTTCAGCTGTTCCTATATTGGACTTACTAGACAAATAAGAGAGCAGGGATCCAGGAGGAGCTGGCCCAGTTGGTGGTACCTCTCAGACTGTGTATCTGAATCTTCATGGGCACTTGTTGAAGGGCAGACTTCTGAGTCCTGATTCCAGAGCTATTGCACCGGGGTCTCTGGGGTGCTGCAGTCTGGTTGTTGGGATTCAATGACCCCCAGTGATTCTGATACACAAGAGTATTTGACTATCACTAGGCTAAATTACTCTTGCCTTTCCACTGCTCCCTCCTTCTCCCAGATGGACCTGCCAGCAGATCTTCTAGGGACTTTGTAAATTTGAGGTGCTCATGGTGACTCTGCAGAGAATTTCCCACCATGCCTCTAGAGATCTAGCTCTACTTATACCATCAGTACCATTCTCCATACTGCCAGCAAGACATTTGGAGAGATTGTTTGAGTGGCATGAAAGAAAAAAAAAATGAAATACAATTGTCACCTACCATGTTAATGTACTAGAGAACTTTAGCCAAATTAGATTGTGTAGAATGTCAATTTTCCTCTCTGAGCCCTTAGACTAACCCCATCATGGGATTCAGTCCACAGCATCAGTTATATTCAGTATTTTTTATCAGCCATCAAAACTTGATGTCTCCTTGCCTTCCTGTGGGGAAACCACATGGTGATGTTTGATCAACCTTTCTGTGTTGTACTCTACTTCATTAAGAACCATGTCATTTGCTCTTCCTGACAGCTTAAATAAGAATGTGCCTATTTTCGTGTGCACTATGGCCTATCCCACTGTTCCTTGCCCCCTGCACATCTTTGAGCCTTGTTACCGGCTGATGATTCGTAGATGCATTGAGACAGGCACAAGACAGTTCGGCATGTGCCTTGGAGATCCCATCAAAGGGTAAGTGAGGAGCTATGTGAGTCAAGGGAGATGGGTGGAGAAGGTTTTTGTTTTACCCTGGGGCTCTCCCAGGAGATTGGGAGGCACAGCTCATGAGACTTAGTCAGCTTATGACCATGAGTCTTTGTAAGGATCAGAGTCCCTCTAGCCCCTTGTTTATCATGGCTTCCTATTTAAAGGAACCTTAGGATTATTCTTTTGTTAAGTGGGTAGTATATACTATAAAACTTATTTTATAAGAGTGTGGGCTCTTGCCCTGGCTGGAGTGGCTCAGTGGATTGAGTGGCAGCCTGTGAACCAAAAAGTAGCCGGTTCAATTCTCATTCGGGGCCCATGCCTGGGTTGTGGGCCAGGTTCCTGGTGGGAGGCATGCAAGAGGCAACCAGACATTGATGTTTCTCTCCCTCTCTTTCTCTGTTCCTTCCCACCAGGGAAGAGTAAAAAAAAAAAAGAAAAATGCTTTCTTTAAAAAAGAATGTGAGCTCTAAGGTCACACTGCTTGAATTCATATTCTGGCTTTAGCTTTGGAACAAGTTTGACTTTGGGAAAGTTACTTACCCTTTCTGTGACTCAGTTTCCTTATCTGTAAAATGGGTACAATGAGAATGCCTATATCAATGAGTTTGTTGGGAGGACTGGTGAGTTCATAATTAACACAAAGCACCAAGCACAATACCTAGCACATGGTGTGTGCTCAATAAATAGCAGTTATACTAATACATTAAGATATTTTTTTCTCACACAGGCACTGCCTGTTGTGTAGCTGTAGCTGTAGATCCTGGGACAGGTGAATAGGCATAAGTCCCTTGAGGTGAAGCATGGGGTTATAGAAATGGCTTGGCGAAGTGAGAAATAACTCATAAAGATTTCCCTTTCTTGACTTTATTTCCAATAAACAGGTTTGCAGAATATGGCTGCATCCTAGAGATCAGAAATGTTCAATTCTTTGCTGATGGCCGTTCAGTGGTTGACAGCATAGGCAAGAGGCGCTTCAAGGTCCTCCATCAGGGTCAGAGGGATGGCTACAACACAGCTGACATTGAATACATTGAAGACCAAAAGGTAAGAGTGGCTAATGCCAAAAATTCCAAAGCCAGGCTATTCCTGTGGCTTCACAGATGGAGATGGTTGTAAAAAGATTTCTTAGCACCATTGGGGACCTTGGAATTTCTCATCAAATTGGTACAGCAACCTTGAATGCTGCCAGATTGCTACTGGGTTGTAGAATGGCAGTGAGAGCACCCCATGTTCTGGCTCTTCCTGCTTAGTTGCTGAGTTATATTCATGGATAAGAAATGCCAAGGCAGACCAACCTTGGTGCCCATTCACCTAGGAGTTAGGTCTCTTTCAGGGGAAGCAGGAGATAAATCTCAAGAGGGGTCTACATATGTGTATTGTTTCTATCAACTTATTTACATTTTAAAACTTTTTCTTTTGAGATAATTGGAGATTCACATGTACATTTGTATTTTAAAATGTGCAACCTAGCTAAGAGCCCTTTCCAATAATGTGCCATGCCATAGGTAGAAAGATGGCATATCTGGTTAATCCTTTGTTTTCTGTACTAATGAGCAGAAGAGGAGGTAAATAATCCATGTTTACTTATATTTACATTTACTACATAAAACACTATTAATAAGTATTTGATCAATGAAAAAATGTATTCAACTTGGAAGACAGAGTTATACAGTGAGAAACAGACACTTTTGTGTCTCTCTTCCTAGTGAGCAATGAGAAAGCAGATGCAACAAATGAAAAAGAAAGAGACATAAGCCAGCATAACCTAGTTTAAGAGCACGCCTCCACTCAGGCTACTTTGCATGTCTGGTTTTCTATATGTGTTGCTGTTTCAGCCAAAATCTTTCTCCTTCCTCTACCCTCAGCGTATTTACACATAGTCCATCATCTAGCTGAGAAGCCTTTCACATACCACACAAGAGAAAGATGGGTGGGTGAGCTTTCCCATAGTGGGATAGGATGGATGTTCAGGAGAGTCAGGTGTCAACAGTGGCTCTAGGGGTTATGGAGAAGGTACAGAATGTTTTGCTTCCACTTTTATTCTTTCAGGTTCAAGGAGAGGATTGTGCTGAACTCATGGGATTACATAATTGTGTCTATGAGCAAGCATCATCTTGGTTTCATTCGCTTAAATCATCTCTGAAGAATCGGATACTCAATCACTTTGGTCCAATGCCGGAGAAAGATGCAGATCCCCAGGTATATAAAGTGTCTCTTTGTAATCACTTGCCTCCAGCAGATGAAAAATCTTAGGGTTTATGATTAGATGGATGCATGATCATCTACCAAATCAAGTGCAGAGAGCAAGGTAGATCTAATCTGCTATTGTGTGGCTGGGCAATGGGCATCAAGGGTAAGACCAAAAGGACCCCAGAATTGGAGGAACTGAAGTGTAGTATAGTGACTTGGGTCCAAGACAGGTTTTGAGAGATAAATCAGATGAGAGGTGGGAACACAAACACCATCAACAGTGGGAGTCCAGATTTACACCATAGTAATGTGCTAGGGCAGCAAGATTCACACAAATACCAGGCTTAAGAGAAGGGTATCCTGGGGCCAAAGGCTGCCACTTCCAGGCAGCTTAGTAGCTCTCTCTTCCATTGCTGTAGGGGATAGGAAATAAAGCCAGCAACATTAAAGGACACCAACTGTAAGACCCCGGCAACTTTTCATGCCCTGGTCCCTCAATGCTTCGTCCTGCAGGCCTAGACCCTTGTCATTGTCCTCATCAGGAGTGAGAAGGACCTGAGAAAACTGACCCAATAGTTAAATTTACTGGCTCTGATTGGTGTGGTTCAGTGGGTTGAGCATCACCCTGCCAACTGAAAGGTCTCTGGTTTGATTTCCAGTCAGGGTACATGACTGGGTTGTGGGCTGGGTCCCCAGTTGGGGGCATGAGAGAGGCAACTGATCAGTGTTTCTCTGGCATATCAATGTTTCTCTCTCTCCCTCCCTTCCCACATCTCTAAAAATAAATAAATAAAATCTTTTAAAAATAGTTAAATTTACCATTGGCTGAATTATACTAGAAAACAATTCATTGGGTTCTACTGGGTCAGTCTATTTCCTAGAGGGACAGGTCTCTTTTAGAGATCAAGCTGAATATCAGAAGCTCTCCAGGCAAGTGGAGGTAATTAAGTTCCATCAAGCTTTGCTTGCCTGGTATAAATCAGAGAACACTCTCTTTTTAGGACAAGGCTGAAGATATGCTAGCCAAATATTTTCCCACAGTCACCTTTCACACATTCTGAACTGACTCTCCTACATCATCACCTCCAGAACTTCATAGGTACTTTACTTACACTCATTCCTGACTCTGTCACAAAAGTAAAATAGAATATGTATATTCTGATTTCCCTGGAAAAAGATTGGTCCAGCTTACCTTTCTAGCTATATGACCTTGGGTAAGTCTCTCACCCTTTCTCTACTTTTCTCCCATCTCTGAAATGATGAAGAGGTCTCTAAAGTCTCCTATTCCTTTTGCATTTTAAGGCTTTAAAACAGCCTACTGGGCTAAAATGTCTTGCTATCTCTAGACCACAAAGGTGGTTTCTTTACCCCATGCAAAAGCATCATGAATATTGAGGGGAGAAAGGCTAGTTAGTGCTTCCCAATAACCCAGCTCCTGGCTCTGGGCCACTATGACTCAGGACTACAGCAGAGCTCTGAGCAAGCTCATGATCAAGCTTAATGTTCCCCTTCACCTTCTGGAAAGCATTCTCCCTGAGTCAGGCAGAAGATAGCAATCAGCAATGATAACAGCATCTTCCACAATAAAAAAACACAGATGCCACAGAATGACTCATAAGGGCTCAGTGACAGAAAGCTGAAAGTTGGATTTTATGTCTTTTCTTTTTAAAAAAGATTTTTATTTATTTTTATAGAGAGGGGAAGTGAGGGAGAAAGAGGGGCAGAGAAACATCAATGTGCATGTTGCCTCTCACATGCCCCCTCCTGGGGACCTGGCCCACAACCCAAGCATGTGCCCTGACTGGGGATCAAACCAGAAACCCTTTGGTTCATAGGCCTGTGCTCAATCCACTGAACTACACTAGCCAAGTCCATATCCTTTCTTATTAGGACTGTTACATGTTGCTTTGGCGGCAGCAGCATGAGCAAACGAACAAATAAAAAACCCAAATTCCATCCAGTTTGATCCAGACAATGCTGCAGACCCAGTGGTTCAATTAATAAGAATGTGCTAAATCTCAGGAGGAGGCTTCTTAGAAACAGCCATAGATATTAACATCAGCTTAAATATCTTCATTAAAGTTCCTGGGAAACTTCAGAATATGTCTATTTAATATTCAAAACTGATAATATGAGGGAGAGCATATTACAGAATGCAACAAGGGACAAAAATGAACCCAAATAAAGCTGGAGGAACAGAGAGGACAAGAGAGCAGTGATGCTTGGGGCAGAATTAGGTGAACCAGTTTGGAGGTACATTATCCCATGTGCAGAATGTGGTTCTCTATAGTCCTATAGTAAATGTTCAGGAAATTGGGGGCAGAAAGCTCATTTTGGACTTAGCAGAAAATAAGTCACCAATGTCTAAAATGTGTGTCTGAGCAGCTTCTGACGAGCAGAATTCTAGTGAAGGGTTTTTGTGGGATGGAAAAGCTCCTTAGTAAAAAGAAACCTGAGAACAGAATGCATTTCTCATATGAATGTGTTCTCTACTTGGAATGTTTGCAAAGTGTGATTGCTGGGCTTTGGGACTGTGAATCATAGGTTTGGTTTCAGGGGAGAAGTGAGTTATGGCCCTATATAATGACATAGCATACACAAACTATAGTGCCTTCAGCCAGAAGCAGGGAAATGAAGGGAATTAAGAGACATGCAAAGTCTAAGGAAGGGGTCATGGGAATGGAAAGCCCACAAGTTGTATGCATCAGTCCAGAGCACCTTAAATAGAGCCTTAGAAGTGGAAGAGACTGAGTAGTGGATATTCCAGCTCATAAAATCACACTGGTTAGGAAGTATAGTAAATGTGTTAAGATATTGATTTGCTTTCTTTAACAACTACCAAAAATAAATATCTTAAACAAGATAGCAGGCATATGTCTTGGAGGTGTAAGGCAGCTCTGTTCCATGAGGTTGTTGAGAGACCCAGGTTCCTTCCTCACAAAGCTCTACCATCCTTTGAATGTTGCCCTCGTCCTCCTGATTGAAGTAGGCCAATCATCACCATGTCCATGTTCTAGCTAGAGGAAAGGGAGAAAGAAGGAAGGTGGAAGGTATGTGTCCCTCTCCCAGGATGTGACCTAGAAATTACACCTATCACTTCCCTTTGCATCTTAGTAGCCAGAACTTTGTCTCACAGCCTCACCTAGCTGCAAGGGAGGCTAAGAAATGTGGTCTTCTTTTTCTGGGTGGCTATACACCCAGCTAAGATAAGAGGAAGTAGATAAAGGGTCAATTATTAGTCTCTGCCACACACAGAAGCAGTTTTACCTAGGATATTTACCTTGCTACTTTCAAAACCTGCCCATTGATATCACTTCCATGGGGATAGGATGAACCCATTTTGTTTCTCTTTTGCAGATTAATCCAAATGGTCCAGCCTGGTGCTGGTGGACATTAGCAGTTCTTCCATTGGAAAGCCGAGCTCAGCTCCCATTCCTAGCAATGAGGTCCTTAAAGGATAGATTGAATGGTATTCGGCGTATCCTGGCCTTTATATCTCGAAACCAAAACTAGTCAGAGTGGATTGCTGAAGAGAAACTTCCACCCTCCCCACTGCCTTGGGGAGTTGTCTTGTAAATACATCTAATTGCAATAACATCTTAACAGAAGGAAGTATCAAACAAAGGCATTACCCTGCTGCTGATTACAGAGAGAAATTGAGAGAAAGACCAAAGAATGTGACCTGTTAGAAACTTTTTGTCTTAAGATACTTCTTGACATGCTGCACAACTACACACACAGCAGGGATGTTCAAGAGCCCAGAAAAAATACTGCTTTTAACATAGAATTTTCTAAAAGTTTAAAGTGGTTTTGCTTTCATTTTCTTTCCTTCATTGGTGAATGACTGTGTGATTGAAATGTGAAGCAGAGATACTAATAATGTTGCTACATTATTTCATTGGCTTGTGGTCCTATTCTAAATGGTTTAATTTGATAAAGCATTGTATATTTATACTTCTTTCTGTTTTACTAATTTATTTTTTGCACTACTGTATCCTTTTTTCTACATGTATGTTTGTAACTATTTAAGTGTACATTACTGAAGTCAGTTGCTTTATTTATTGATGTAGTTTGCCATGTAACTAGGGGGAAGTAACAAAACTACAAATGTGCCATTTTTGCTTTAATCATTTCTTACTATGTTTGATCCCAGTTCTTGAACCATTTTTGTATCTCTCTGATTGGATGCTTAAAGGAAGTTCAAAATTATGCTAAATCATCTTTCTTCACAGACTCCATTTATTCACTTTGAATTCAACAACATAAAATACTGAAGGGATTTGGAATAGACTGTAAAGTAAACCAGGATAAAGTAAAATAATCCATTTTCCATGTGTTATACAGAGCAGGGCTGAAGGAGTTATTTTTCTGGAACAAAGCAATGAATCAGAGGAGTGTCCTTTATTACAGTCTATTATAGACATTTATCTCAGCAATCTAATTCTAAGTGTTTCTAATTTCTCCCCAGTTCAGTTAGGAATGGGATTTTTAAGCAAGATAATATTTAACCCTTCCGAGGGAATGGTTTTCAGATTGGCACATCACAGTTATGTCCGAATGGCTTCCATACCCCACCTCTTCTCAGGGCTCTGAGGATCACAGCATGGCTAGCATGTGTAGAAACACTTGATGAAGAACTATTCATTATGAAAAGTGTAAAAAAAGTTGTAGAAAAGGTAGAATGCTTTAAAGAAAACAAACTATCACTTTGGTTTTTATAATCTTTTTAAAAGAACCAGAAAGTTAATCCATTATTTTATCTAACTACTGCCTTTCCTCCTAGGTGCAGTGGGTCAAAAATTTCGATATAGAGGAGGAATGGTAGATAAGGAGTGAACCCTGTTTTATCTTGCTTAAAATTAGTGTGATTCCTTTAGTTCCAGGCAAACCTGAAAAATAGCATGAGTATGGGAGTGTTATAATGACAGAGTGAAAAGGTTAGGACAGGGAAGAAGTGAATTCTGTGTGCCATTAATACCTTTGCACAAAAGACCCCCCCCCACACTGCTCCATGATTATGGATGGCTGCAGTGTGCTATTTACTTGAGGCCTGTACACTCTGTTAAGGTAAAAGGTTAATGCCTCAAATAATGACTCTGACTTCTTCCATCACCACTTGTGGCCAGAAGCAGAAACGCAGAATGAGATGATCTGCATTTTCTTAATGGACGTTATGCTGTCAGAGAATCACATTACCAGGTTTGCTGTTTGGAACCAGACTGGGCTGGTGAGGAATGGCAGGATAGACATGGTTACTGTCCAAGCAAACTCTACAAGACTCTGGGAGCATGAAATTACAGGCTCCCACTCTGACTTGGTGTACAACCATGTGGTCATAACACAGTCCTACTTTAATAGTTTCCTGTTATCTAGTATAAATGCACCCCCCCCCAAAGGGTCGTAAGCGTTTCTGCTTACTAGATGTGTTACTTTTGTAATTTAACTTTTTTCTGAGCCCCAGTCTCCTCATTTGGCAAATAGTAATGATAAATACCACATACAAGGTTGTTATGAACATTAAATGAGATAAGATATGCAGATCACTTAGTGTAGTACCTAGTTTAGAGAAAACATTCAAAATAATACCTGTGATTAGATTATTCATTGTTATAGAATATCACCAGGGGCCTACATTTGCATAAAATGCTGCCTTTATACACAATACCTATTCTAACTCCTTTAAACTCAGTTGGGAGAATCCACACCACTGAGTTTTAGACCATAACTTCATGCTTTACAGATAATTCCTTTTGGAGTCAAGTCTCTTAGGGCAAGTGAAAAGACTGGAAAACAAATAATGGTGAGAGAGCAGGGAGAATTCTGTGTTAGCAATTTTTTCTTATTTCTATAGGGCTGAAAAGTAGTATTGTTTGGAAATCTGAAGTTTCTGATAAAATGGAAGCTTTAAGTTCTAGCTTTGTTAGAATAACCAACTCCTCACTCCCTGTTCTCCAAAATGTATTGAAAATCTAGGCCATGCTACGGTGAGCAAATTTTACAATCTATGACTTTTGTGCTTAGTTCATGGTATTTCCTCATGCTCCTCGAACAAAAATGTATTGTGAACTTACTACATACCAGGTACTGAGCCAGATGACTTCACATATGTGAGTCTGTTAAATAATTTTATTTCTTACATCCACCCTGTGAGATCACTTATCATCCCCCTATTATTGGATGAGAAAGCTGAGGCTCTGCAATGTTAAATTCTTTACCTAAGTAACACAGTCAGCCAGTAAGTAGGCAGGCTTGTTTTTGAACCCATTATTTTGCAAATTTTTAACATTTTAAATATATTGTATTGTACATAATTTTATTAAATAGGCATGACAAATCACAAAAGCACCCCAGAAACTCACAATGGGAAGTTGCAGGTTAAGTAAAATTAAATTACCTATCACATCTCTACTCAATCTAGGTAGAAAGGGAAGCTTGATTTTTTAAAGTAAAATTCCATATCATAGAATGCTTCCTGTTAACTGAGTACTTAATTCCAGCAAATTGAGATCTTGGCAAGGCAGAGTTGCACTTGGCTCTCAGTAGCCTAGATACACATTTGGGTGGGTTTGCAGCGAGCTTTTGTTTTAGTAGTGGTGGGAGGCAGGGTGCAAGACTAAGCCTTGGTTTTCTTTGGGATGTCCTTGAATGGGGTAATTAGTTAGACATGACCATTTTCACCTCTCTTGATTTTGCAGCAAAGCTTAGAAATGAAGAGTATACAGAGAAAAGACATAAAGCTGAATCTAAGCCTGAAGGACAAGACTTCTCCTTGGTAGACAGTACCATAATAAATGGCTAGTTTTCCTGTCTATCAGAACTCAATCTTTTCCTAGTAGATTATTTTTTGTGAGTATGTGTTTGTGTGCACCTGTGTGTGTGTGTGTGTATATGGTAACAAGGAGACATTATGCCTTTCTGCCTTGTACTGTACTACTGCTGCTAGCTAACCAGCAAAATGAAAAATGATAAAATGAATTTTCTGTAGACAACTTAGAGAAAAAGATCTTGCCCCTGACTTGGCGAAGGAGCAGGGAACTGATTATTTTAATAATTTGCCTTTTCTGAAGACTGACTGCTAATCAAGTCACTGCCTATGGGGCACTTCCAGCTCTGCCTGTGGAGCTTGCCTCAGCTCAGATAATCCCCTGTGACCAGCCATGGGGGCAGTGGAGCTCCTGAGTTCACAGACCCCAGAGGTCTGTTACTATCAACACATTGCATACTGTTGATGGATTGCAACCTTACTGGGCACTGTTTCCCTCATGCCAACTCCATTTCCAAGATGGAATTTTATTCAGGGACATATTCCTTGAGTTCCTGACATGTAGACTTTGTATCCATTTACATTTACCAAGGCAGAATCATAGCAGAGGTGTGTAATAAAGATGCAAATGAAAGCAGGTAAAATAGTGGAAAAATGACAGATTTTTGAGCCCATTCTTGAACTTGTGGATTGAGGTTTTGATTTATGACCAAAGACAATTCTGAAAAGCAGTCAGCTGCATGGGCTGCAATTTGTGGTCCCTCGTGACTGCAGAGAGGAAGAAGGAAAAGGAGCCATGTAAAATGTATGTGTTCACCCTGGCTGGTGTAGCTCAGTTGGTTGGAACATTGTCCCATAGCCCAAAGGTTTCCAGCTTGATTCATGGTTAGGGCACATACCTAAGCTGTGGGTTCATTCCCCGGTCCAAGCACATACCAACTCTGGTGTGGGTGTGTGTGGGAGGTAATCAATCAATGTTTCTCTCTCTCCCTCTCTCTCTAAAGAAGCAATGAAAAAATGTCCTCAGGTCAGGATTAAAAAAAAAAACAGTTAAAATGTATGCATTCAGTTCTTCATAGAATGATAGCTCCTGTTGTTCAACTATTTAATAATCAGGGTTATGCATATCCAGAGGTGAAATGAAGACATTTTTACTTACAAATGGGTATTTGCAAATGTGCTAAGTTAACCTTGAGAGAGAAGTGCCTGTAATCTCTTCCTGGTCATTTTAAAGCTTTGCTTCATGACTTCGTAGCCTTTTAAAAATTTGCCGCAGCAAATGTGATTAACAAAAGTTTACAAAACAACAGTGTAGTTTATACATCATTTTAAAAGTTGCTTAACATGAATCTATTGTAAAAGCAACAACAATAAACAACAAAATAAAAGAGCAAATCAATGTGGCTTCATAGGCTTATCTTAGATAAACTAGTTCCATCATTTCATGCAGTTCTCAGTAATGCCAAGAGTAAAATATTAAGCAACCCATTTAAACAGCAGCAAATGTGTCTGTGTTTGTTACTCTAGTTGTTTATTGAGTAGCCATTTCCCTCTCATACTGTAATAAACTGAAAGGGGGATTAAAGCAATGCTTTTCCCTCCCATATGGCTACTCAACTACCTCTATATGCTTGATTTCTCTTTAATATTTTCTTTCCTCCAAATCTGTACAAAGAAAAGTTTCAGCTCATGTATGTTGTAATAACAATGTGACATAGACAGTCTCTGTGAAAGCTGTTTGTTCATTAAAAATGTTTTCTATTGTCTCATTTTGTGTCTAAACCAGCTTTACCTATATTTTACAATTACCCAAATACTTTCATTTTGTTGTAAGTATTTTGTTGGAAGCGAAATAGAAAGGAAAGCTATTGGAACATGTATTTTGTTCACATTCCTATTGGCTGTAATACTTTTGACCAGAAGATCTTTCAAGGAAGTAGACCTGCACTCAGCAAGCTCTTATGTATGTGACAGTGGGGCAGATGTGAACTGATTAATGTGATATATGTTTTAAACACCTAGCCATAAATTGGTTTAAAGATGTTCCAGAAAAAACTTTTTTAAAAGGAGTTATGTTGAAGCATTTTGCCAACAACCTACCTCTAGTTTCTTTGTAAATCTGTTCATATATTGGGTTTGCTTAAAGCAGAACACACTACTTAGTCTGTTGGGGGGTTGGCATTGTGAAATGTTTATGAAAGTGAATTACACATTTTTATTTCAATTAAACAGTTTCTCAACAATAGGCTAAAGCTAAAGTGTAGACCTTTTGACAGGAAAATTGGTACCATTGACTGGGACAATGAATGATACTGCCCAAGCTGACTCTAGCAAGAGAGCTTCAGGAACAACTCATCTTATGTACAGGACCCATTTTAGTCTCGTGCCACTGATGACTTTATATAAACTCTATTTTACCAATGAAGAAAGAAAATTATATGGGAGTAGGACAATTAAAAAGTGAAATGAGCCCTGGCTGGCGTAGCTCAGTGGATTGAGTGTGGGCTAGGAACGAAAGTGTCCCAGGTTCAATTCCCAGCCAGGGTACATTCCTGGGTTGCAGGCCAGAACCCCCAGCAACCGCACATTGATGTCTCTCTCTCTCTCTCCCCCTCTCCCTCCCTTCCCTCTCTAAAAAAGAAAAGAGTGAAATGATAGGAAATTCCACTTGGCCTGGACCTTGTCCTTTGTAACAGGATCTTTGGGTAATTGAGAAAAAATCAGAACTCCTGCCCATCTAGGCCCCAGAGGAAATGCTTGGCTCTGTTGGAAGTTGCCCTTCTAAGCCCAGTGTGCCACATTCTGGCTCTCATGAGATCAAGCACATTCTGGCCAAAGGCACAGTCTTCCCTCCAAGGCAGTTCTTCTGTCCAGAATGCTGGCACAACTTTCTCTGGAGAATTGGACTGAATCATCTAAAAAGGTCTTGTTTGCAGTTGTCCCCTAGGCCTTGAGCAAAGCCAAATCCAACACTTTCTCTTTCCTCTTCTCTGGGACCCACCCTGGCAAAATTGAGTTCTCCAGGGCCAAATAAGCACTTTAATCAGAGGGCCACTAGTCGGGGGAGCATTATGTCCACAAATGGAGTTAAGCCCTTATGTTTAGGCAGTCTATAGGGATGAGGTCCAGTTGGAGGGAAGGGTTGTGGAAATAGATAATCACGACAACCAAAGTGGCACCCTTTTTACCTCTCCCTGGACAAAACAGCATGCATCCTTTTCCCCTACTGACTGGATTTGATCTTCCATCCTGATTGGGAATGTCACTTATGCTCACACCAAGACTGTAGTCATGTCTTCAGGAACTGTGAATCATGTTCTTACACTCTTAGGCAGCCAAAGGCCTAGCTTTTCTGTTCAAGGAGGTTTTCTTTCACACACCCTGCTGCCTGGGAGAAACTTCACCAGCTCTCCAGAAGTTTGGGTTCAATGAGTCTGAGGCAGGCTGCTTTAGGCTTGACAAGAGGAGCCCTTGAGAATGATGTCTGCTAGTTCCTCTAGGGGAACACCCTCTCATCTGAACTTTGAAGTCAAGGTAAGTACTAGAAGACCTCTTTTCTACTTTATTTATTTTCTGCACACATGTCAAATATTTTATCCAACTCATTAATTAATGAGGAAACCAGTAAAATGTTAATACAACCTGTTCCAAGAAGAACCCCTTTCCACTTTAAAAAATCCTTCATTTATGGATTTATAGCCATGGAGAGCTGATGGCCTTCCCATTCAGGTATCTTGCCTTCAATAGGAGAGAAGTTGTTTCATTAAAAGCCTTTAAAAATATTCAGGAAAGATGGAAACATACCAGACAGATGGGATCATTGCACCTATGAACCAAATCTGAGATGTCTTGCTTCTGGTCTTCCTACTAAACAAAATAATGAATGTCTGTTTTAGGGAGGGAGATATAGGAATCTTTTGATGATCTGTCCTTTGAAAAGCAAGGCTGAATATGTTTTTATGGCCTGCTGGAGAGGACCATATTTTGACAAATCACAATGATGAGAAGAAGCCTGGGATCTAGCAGGTTACTAATAGGTAAGAAACTAAGCACTTATTGAGTGCTCACTGTGAGGCAGAGCTTGATAAACCTCAGCTCATAAAGTCCTTACAATAATCCTATTGGGTAAATATTCTTAATACTATCACTTTACACCTGTGGAAACTGAGACTTGGAGATGTGAAGTAATTTCCATTTTATGATCCTTCCAATGTATTAAGACAAACAAATAAAAACAAAGAAATATCTAAGACAAGGTTTAAAAAATTGTGGTAACACTTTCACACACCTAATTACAGAGCAATTTAACACTGTATGTGTTGGCTATTCATAAGATAAATCCAGGATTTGGATTAAAATTAATTTGTACTGCACAATGTACAGTGTGCTCTGCAAATGTCTGCAGTGTGATCTACAAGCTTTAAGTTGTATGACAAATGTCTCTGTCCAGACTTATCAGCAAAACTCTGTGAATATATGGGAAATAGCCTTGGTGTGAGGTAACGTTAAACACAGGCACCCTTCATGAATGTGAGGTTTTCATCAAATGGCTTTCCTAACTGCCCATCCAAGTCTTGCCCTGACAGAAGTCTTCTGGCAGCAGAAGTAGCCCCTCACAAGTACATTCAGTGTCACTCAGTTTCACAGCTCTGACTCTCACTATAGCTTCTAAAGGGGTAGTGCAAGCTTGAAAGTCCTTCTAGGCCAAAACAACCTTGTCCTGCCTTTTTTGGTTATCTGAGTAAATTAACCTTATTTCATTGTTCTTTTTATCATTGTATCTCAGTGGTTATCACCATTATTGTGTCACACACAAACATGGAACATTATGTATGTGCTGTCTAGAAATACTCACACATACACACAATTTTGAATACACTTTTCATACAGTTTAAAACCTGTTCCAGACCTACTCTGAGTCAATGAAGGTCAGTCATGTACTCTATGTATAAAAATTCTCTATACACTAGCATCCACGATCTTCAATAGGAAATTCTAAGCCATAATTGTTTGAGGCTACCAGGTTAACACAAGAGCCCCCTGATGTCTCAGTGATTTGCTGGTTGTTTAACATATCAGGACAACATGCTAAATTTGGAATTGATCCAGAGTCCTGCCTTTTCCAGTCTGACAAGTTTGAGGATCCCCCCACACACACCTCCCTCTGACTTAATTTCCCTAGAATGATGGCTACTGGGTTATAGCCTAGAATTGACCCAGTAACCAAGAAAATGTAAATATTCACTGAATCTCTGTGGGGCCATTCTACATAAAGAGAAAATGTGTATCTTTTTCTGCCTTTGAGAATCAATTAAAAAGCCATGTACACGGGCACATATACTGGGGGGCTCTTAGACCTCCTAACATGTATCCATGGATCATCCTGCTTTGTTCACTCTCTGGTTTCTGAACATTCATTTCCTGTTTTGTACCCTGTTTTATTCATCTGGTTGTCTCTGTCCTTGCCCCATCACACTTGAGCTCTCCTATCTTGGACCCATTAGTTATGTTTCTTTCAGGTTTCTCTTTTCTCTCTTTCAACTCTTATTTTCTTGAGCCTTACATTATACTGTTCTATTCTTTTGGTCTCAGCTTCCCTTTTTCCTCAATAGCCTCTGAACACCAGCTGGCTGTTCTTCCTCTGCCTGGTCTGGTTGACAATTTCCAGCATCTCCTGAAAATAGGCTTTGCCTTATTCTTCTAAAGAGTTTCATTATGACTTCCCAGTATACATTTGCATTTTGATTACATTTTCTATAGATTTCAGCTTTGTAAACACAAAAACAAATCAAACCCCACAACTCAGGAAGCCACATTGATCTATATTTTTTAAAAATTCTACTTTTGGCTATCTTTTTATCCTCCATTGGTTTCCACGATTCAAAGTTGCTGCTTTGTGAGGAGTAGCATTATATCTCTCCCCACCCCTCTCTTCCCTTAGCTGTGGAGCTAAAGAATAGAAGATTCTGTTTGGCTAAAAAAAGAAAGAAATCATCAGATCAAGCCCAGAGATTTATATGTGGGGGCCCATAAACAAAACAACTTTGTTTTCCTGTTTTCAGACAGAATCTTAGTTAGTTTACTTCTACCAATGCCATTTATTAAGGGAAAATTAATGACTACCAATTTACAAAACAGGATTTGGGAATTTTCAAAATGAGAGCTAGGTAAATGAACTCTTGGGGTAACACTTTCAATTGACCTAAAACTACATGGCAAAAATAAAATAGTGTATTCTGATTGTGAAGACATGACCTCTGTACATAGTCTTTTTAAAATTATTTTATTGTTGTTCAGTTCTTTTTAGATTAGTAGTGGTGTGTATAATCTTTATAAGGGCAGTGGAACCACATTCTAAATCATTTTTTCCACAGCTTAGCTTGAGGAACATGATAGTCAAATGTTTCTAGATATTGCAACCCATGTGGTCCTTGGAACATGAGTTGATACTTGTACCAGAACCTGCTGCCTTTACATGAACCAATTTGAAGTCTAATATTTCATCTAGAGAAGAATATCAGATCAGGAGGTTTAAGAACTCTAGATGTTTCAATCTGGGTAAGTGCAGCCAGAAAGCATGTTGGGGTTTCAATAGAGGACTGGTAGAAAAGAAGAAGTAGCTGATATTAAATAACATTGTGGGTGTAGTTAGCCTGGTTTGCCCTTAGAAGAACAGAGTAAATGAAGTAGTAAGCCATCCCAAGTAACCCAGCAGGGGCACTTGGGGTAACAAGTAAGGGGCAAATTTGGAGAAATAAACATTTGTCCC